AGTTAATTTGATTTTAATTATGTAACACTGGGTGAGGCAGAACTCCTGGCTGGCGTTATTATTGTTTCGGTTTGTTTCGTTTGCGGTTAATCAGCAGCCCGTGGCATTAATATTTTGATTGCCGCATGCCGCAGCAGCAAATGCAGCGGCGGAGGCAGCGGCAGAAGCCAGCTAAGTGTTGCAGGCAGCCACAGAAATTGACAATTAAAAATAATTTGAAATGCAGACGCCAAAACGTGCAGCGACAATAAAACGAGCGCATTTCATTAAAATTTCAAGTCAACTCAACTGTGCCACACACACACACACACGCACACACTTGTGCACAACAGGGTGACAGCCACGCCCATTCGCCCATCATACACAGCGAATGCGAATATAAAAGCGACAGCAATTTAAAATTAGTAAATGTTAAAGCACAGCAAACAAAGTGCAGAGCGTGGTAGGAGCTACATGGGAGTAGATAGCAAGAGAGAGAGAGAGAGAGAGAGAGAGGGAGAGTGGCAACAGAGTGGAGCTGCCTCGAGGGGCAGCCGGGTTGAGTGTGTGCCAGGCTAGCTGAGGTTTGGCTAAATGGGAGCAACACGAGCTGGTCTGCAATTAAAAACAAGTGAATGTTTGCCATCACCGAGCAAATGGCAGGCCGAATACCCTGTAAAAATAATGTGAGCACTTGCGATTTGGCCAGAGTAGCAGCGCAAACGAAGCGAATTTAGAAATTGGATTTAATTAAAATTATATTCATATACTGAATTGAACTCGAATCTAAATATTGTAGATTTAATTTTTAAGCTTTTTAATTTTTAATAAAAATAAAAGTAGAATTTATTTTCACTTTGGAGTACAATCAAGAAAATAATATTATAAATTATAGACAAAATAAATTAATAGAACATGTCAAAATTAAAATAACTTTTTTAAAAGTAAAAAAAAAATTTAAAGTGAATTCAACAAACATAAAAATTAAATTTAAACAGCAAAATCAATAAACAAATAAATAGATATGTATAAGATTATTATAAAATTATAAATAAATAAAATATTAGAAAACACCATAAAAAATAGATTATTATACAATTTAAATTTTAATTTAAAAACATTTTAAGAAACGATGAAAAAAAATATATATATATATATTATATATAATTATATAAAAATAATTCATTTTAATACAAAAAAAAATTTAAAAACAATAAAACGATAGACATTAAAATAAAATAAATATGTAAATATATAAAAATAATTAATTTCAATACTACTACTTAACAAAAATGTTATACAAATTAAATTGAAATTACAAGAATATTTTATAAAAAAAAAAATAAATTAAAATTTGGTAGTCAAGAAAGAAACTATTATTCAAATTAAGTAAAAATCATAAAAATATTCAATTATATTTAATTTAAATTTGGCCGAGTAAAGCTCGTACTACATACAAAAACATTATTATCAAAAATTCAATAAATATTATAAAAATATTTATTTTTAATTAGATTATATTTAAGTTTCGCACCCCTCGCTCTACTCACATGCTTACGCATCAAGGACCATATCGAGTATAATATGATATTCTCGTTTGCCTTTGTGCGCAGTGCAATGAGAGGGTATCCCTTTTTGGGGGGAGCAGGTGGAGTGCTTGTTGAGCTGTTATTCCCGGCCATTGTCGCCTGTCGTCTGTGAAACTCAAAACGTGCAACTAAACTGCAGCGTTTTACAGACAACTTGCCACACTGGCCGCACGGCCATGCCCCACTGGCGAAGCTCCACCCACGCCGCTGGCGGGATTCCCAGCTGTGCTGCTGCTGCTGCTTCACATTCGCTGTTTATAGGCTACCAACACCCTTTGCTGTCGCCTCACCACACTGCCTGCCCCCTCCCTCCCCGTCTGGCTCTATCTATATTCGAGCTGGGCCCGCTTTATGGGCCTTAAAGCGCGCGGGCCAAGCCGCTTAAGTGGGCTGTTAAGGGCTTGTTAATTTTATTGATACCAACGCCCGATCGAATGTTGTTGGTCCCCCCAAGATAAGGAGGCGTGGCACACTGAGTCAACGGGGGGGCTGGGTCGGTTGGCTGCAACAGCAATTGGAGCAAGTGGTGCATTGGCACTCGACGTTGACATGCTCGACACATGTTGCGGCCAAGCAGAGCCCCCAAGGATGTGTACCAATTCATGTGTTGTGTGTGTGTGTGTGTGTGGCCTGCATTGGTATGCAAGAAGCATACAAACTGACCCACTGCAGTCCAGGCTGGCCAGAGCCCAAAAGTCAAAGGCAAAGTTGGCCGCTGAGCAAATTGAGCTGAAAATTTCATCAAATTAAGATATGTTAACCGACAGACAGAGAGAGGGAGAGAGGGGATGAGAGAGGCTGTCTGAGAGCATGACAGAAGGCTCAAGATGAAAACAATGTCGATTTTCCAATTAACGAACAAGGCCACAGAAATATGAAAACCGCATTAAAATAATTCAAATTTACTCGAATATTTAACAAATTGTTATTGATAATATTATTGTTATATTATTGTTATATATTTGTTCTCATTCCTGACATCATTGTGGTCTGCATTTGGCTACATTGTGTGTATCTTTCATATATCTGAGTTCGTACTCTCTCATAGACTCCATAGATTCATCCAAAGTACTTACCAACGCAGCTCTGTAAGGAAATCCACATAGAGAATAAAGAAAACTGGTTATCTTAATATCTTGAATTTCAGTTTATTCATTATTCCAATCGCTGGTAAATCCTAGTATACATATATATAACTTGGGCTTTATATACATATACTAGGTCAGATTATAGCCTTAAGTAGTTACCGTTTGATCTGTTCAGCTTTTACTGTTCCATGCTCTGCGCTCAATCGAGTCAATCTTTTGGCTAACTGGGGCTATACATATATATATATGTCTATATATGTCTATATAGAGTATACATACATATATGTATTTTGGCATACCTTACACACACATACACATTCATATCAATTATCAATTTAATGCATAACTTAAGTTAAATAACAATCACATTTACTTATTCTGTTTTTTTTTTTTCTTCTCCATTTTTCATTTTCTTTTCATTTTTGGCATTTTCTCATTGAAAAAAAAAGGATTTCGGCACTTGCCCATATATTAACTCTATTTGGGATTATTTAAGTATATGTCATATATCATTTAATCAGTTTTATATATTTGTATTAATTATTATAATCTTTTTATGCTGTGCCTGCTCCTTAAAACCGCGAATTGTCAATAAAACAATTGAAAACAATCGAGAGATAACAAAAAACTTAAAAAACTTTCGTTCGCTCGTTCGTTTGTGGAACCGATCGGAACCGATCTATATAACTTGCTATATCCTTTGGGTATTGCATATACATATAATTCTCTACTTGTAAAAAAAAACCACACTAACACGTACCACTTGCAGTGCACGTATTTCTCTTACTTTTTATAATTTTCTTTGATTTATTTATCATTTATCCGTTAGCTCTAGAATATTTCTGCTTTCTCTTCTTCTTTTCTATAATATTGAGTTGTTTTCTTTTTTTCGTAATAAATTGTTTTACGTCTATTTATTTTGAGAGTTATTTTTGTTTTCTTTTCTTTTCTTTTGGTTGTATTGTATAATTGTTTACGTTGAGTTCTTTAAATTACGTTTCTTTTTCGGAGTATTCAATTGTTTATCTTAGTTATACATAGTACACCCATACATAAGTATATAGTTCATGCTTTGTTCTGAATCTGAAGTCCTTTGTTTTGTTTTGCTTTGTATTTTATTTTTCTTGTTTGTAGTTTGTTTTTATTTTACCAAAAAGAAAACTATTAGCTAATCGCTAGTGGTTCAAAGAGTACACAAGTTTTGCTCGCGCACCGTATTTTGTATAAGTAAAGTTCTTATATATTGTATAAATTGTTATTGTAAATTGTGTTTTTTCTTGTCTTGTTCTATATAAATTTCGGCACATTTGATTACGTTTCACAAAGAAAATTGAAAATAAATGTCCATAAATATCGGAGTACGAGACTGATAGATACGCGCTGCACGCATCTTCACACCTGTTTGTGTCTATCTATGCCAAGTGCATATTGAATTGAAGTAATATCTTAATGTAAACCATTGATAGCATACCGAATGCGAGTGTGCTGTTGCTTTCAGTAGCACTAATAGTGATTATTGGTAGAGCTGTTGCACTCATGAAGCTACGATCGGGCTTGGTGTGCATACCAAAACTCACAGCTCTGCGGCTGATAGAAGCTGAGTTTACTGGGTCAGTGCCACTGCAGTGGCAGAAATCATAGAGCTCTATAGCAGCGCTGCTGCATCTAAAGAGTTAATGGTGAGCGTAGTGCGCATACCAAAATGCATAGCTCTGCGTCGTGTAGAAGCTGAGTTCACTGGGTACATTTAGGGCTTGATTGAGCTACCAATAGGCCCGCATATCAAATTTCATAGCTCTATCTGTGGCAAATGCTGAGCTCCCTCGGCCAGTGGTTGGCATTGTTAGGGACTGTCATATTTCGCTAAAAAGGACTTGCAAAAGCACAGTTCATTCGGTAATTTGGCTCGATATTGGCTTGCGCAATCAATAGATAGCTGAACAATTTGTGTGCAAACAATGGAAACGTATTATTTATGCAATTTCTAATTGTGTTTTGTTGGGGGTATTTTGTATATCATTGTTTCTGTTTGGCGGTCATGGGGGAGCGAGGGGGTGTTATATTATTTGGTTTCGGTGTTTGGCTTATTTGTTAGTTATTTGTAGATAGACATTGAAATAGCTGTAGCCGCAAATAGACAAACAATTAATTATGTTTTATTTGTAACATTAATCGCATTTGAATTGTTCTTACATATTATTTTTAGCTTCTTCTTATGTTTGCTCTTTCCTTTTGTTTTTACTATCAATATTTGAAAAATCAACAAACAGTTAAGTGGAAAAATTGAAATTCTTTTAGCATTATTTTTGTTTTTTTTTTTAATTTTTTTTTTTATTTTAATAAATTTAGTTTTTTTTTTTGCTTTTGGATTATTTTATGCTGCCTAACGCTTAGTCTAGCCTAACCATTCGACACACACGTGTGTAGTATGTGTGTGTGTGTGTGTGTGTGTGGGTGGCTGGAGGAGACTCACCCACCGCTTGCAAAAAAAAAAGTATAACAACACCACGTTGATCGAGTTTCTAAATAGCTTAGATATTAGTATATATTGAGTACTCTTGCATAGCATACCTTCTTCCACTGCTTCCTCTTCTTCATTATATTTTTGACCGCTCCTTCTTCTTCTTGTTCTTAACTGCCATTCACATCGACGACCATGGGCTGCGGCACCGCGTGTATGCCATTCGCGAGGCTCCCAGCGCACAATGTCGCAGCGCTGGGGGAGGCGGGGGGCGAGGCTGGCGGCGTCAATGTCGATGGCTGCTCCTGTCCGGTGCCAGTTCCATTGGTGTGCTCAGCGGTGTTTGGTGGTGCGCAAATTTTGCCATTGGCTAGCTTCAGCTGCTGCTTCGGCTCCTGCTCCTGCTCCAGCTCCTGCTCCTGCTCCTGCTCCAGCTCCTGCTCCTTAGCCAGTTGTTCCTCTAGCTCCTTCTGTTGCTGCTCCTCTTGCTCTTCTTGCTCCTCCTGCTCCGCGTCCTCGTCGTGCTGGTGTCCATTCCCAATGGCTGGCTCGCTGAGCGGTGGCGGTGGTGGCGGCAATGAATCCAATTGATTCGATTCCATCAGTGTAAAATCATTGAACTCCTTAATCTCCTCGGTTGAGGGCGGCGCCGGCAGGCTCATCAAGCTGTCATAATTGTTCTCTGGTTCCTCCTTGGCCTGCTGCTCCTTAGCCTCCTCCACATTCACAGTTACCTGCTCAGCCACTGTTTCGTTATCATTTCCAAAGGCAGCGGGTGCTGGCACCGGCTGCTCCTGCTCTTCCTGTTGCTCCTGCTGTTCTTGCTGCTCCTGTGGCATCTGCTGCTCCTTCTGTTCCTGCTGCTTCTGTTGCTCTTGCTGCTCCTGCTGCTCCCGCTGCTCCTGCTGTTCCTGCTGCTGCTGTGGCTCCTGCTGCTCCGGCATGCGTTCCGATGCATTGGCAGCTCCACTTTCCAGCTGAGACATGAGCACCATGGGCGAGTCATTGGCATAGCCAGGCTGCTCGATGACATAGAGCTCCTGGTTGCCATAGGAGTAGCGCTTGTTCGAGTCGCTCGAGGAGGTGGAGCTCAGGTCAGACTGGGAGAGGCCCGTTTGGGACTGTATGGGCTGCTGGCGGTCAGTGTCATGCTCCTCATCCGGCAGCAGCTGCTCCTCCTCGATGAGCTGCAGGCCCGCAGCCGCGCCCACGCCGACTGCAGCTGGCTGATTGGCAAAATCGCTGGGTGGTGCATGGATCTGGACCTGTTCGTGGCTGGGCGGCAGGCTGCGCTCCTCCAGCGCCGACAGCTTGTTGCTGGTATCGAAGGGCAGCTCCGTGATGTCTACGCCAGCGGCGGGGCTATCCGGCGGCTGCTTCGAGTCAATGCCGCGTGCCACCTCCACCACAAAGACGCCGTCCTTGTCCGTGTGCATCTTCGTCTCGCGAGCGTTGCGCGAAATGTCCTGAAGTGGCGAAAGAGAGAGAGAGAGAGAGAGGGAGAGAGAGAAAATAGCGAGAAATCAGCAAAGGAGCGCCAACAGTTGGACGACACTTGCAACGGACACAGACACAGTGTGAGTGAGCGAGAAGTGGGAGGAGCAGAAGTGCTCGAGCTGAAGGTGGAGGGAGTGCTAAATGCTTGACAGCAGTGGCCAGGAGACGAATCGAGTGGCTGCCAAGCGGAAAGTGCCGAAAATTGCATTTGCATATGCTTTGCCCTATGACAAATTTACACCTGGCATAGAACGAGACAGACAGAGAGATAGAGTGAGAGAGGGGGGAGGGAGAGCACAGGGTGTAAGAGAGACAGTGAGTGAGAGTGTGAGAGAGAGGGAATGCTTTCACGCAGGTGTGACTGAGCTGGGTCGCCAGACAAATAACTGGCACTCGACTGCAGCCAAAGAAACCCAAAGGACGACAGGACAGCAAGCGGAGGAGTGACTCTAAGTGGCTGCTCGACTAGCAAATACCCTATAAGAATGGGAAGCGTTTGCGAATTCGAGTTGATGAAACTGACTTGATATAGCTTTGATTTCAAATATGCTATTATGACTATTAGACTCAATATATCCTGTAAAGGAATCTTAATTTGTGAACTGAGCTGTTAAGATTCTAGAAGAAAACTTGATTCTACTACATATCAAATAACACCAATGGAAATACCTCTAGAAACACTAACCAACTAGCCCCTCATTCAAAATACCCTTCAATCGATTATCATGTGGGTACAGGGTATGCCAAACAAACAAGCTAGGGAGGTATAGGGACAGGTTTATATAAACGATGTCAGCCAAAGGATTTCCCAACAGATGCATCAGCTGCAGTTGCTCAGGATCGATCACAGTCAGGCCGATGGGGCGAGAGGGGGGTGAGTGACATGAAAAGCTTAAGCTTTTACATTGAACAGGGGTAAGCACACACACACACACACACACTTGGCACACTTTTTAATGCCAGTGATAGAGTGATAGAGCTGTCTCTTTCGCACTCAATGAAGAGCATCTTGACTGATGTCCAGTTTCAGCTCCACTCAAGTGTTGATTGATGAGACAAGAGCTAGCTGTTGGTTAGCCCCACAATCAGCTAATGATGTGAGGGTGCTCATGCATCGGATGACAGGGAGAAGGACAGCTCTTCCTATACGGAATGCAGCTGTCTCTGTCTCACTCCAAGGCGACGGCAAAGAATTAGCTGAAGGAGATTATAATTAACAGAACTGGAAGTGAGAGAGAGAGAAGGAGAGTAGGAGACAGCTATGGGTCGATACAAGGGGACGAAAGAGACAGGTGTAGTGTGTATATACTAAGAGCGAAAGAGACAGACAACTATAACTAGTTACCAGCTAAAGTACAACATTTAGACATGTTCAGGCAGGCAATAGCAACAGTACAACATCGACAACATCAACAACAAAAACAACAACATTGACCATATCAACCAATCAATCAATCAATCGAGCATTCAATACTACGACAAGGACGCAGACAATGACATACGTAATGAAGGAGAAAGAGGAAGAAAGACAGAGACAACAAAGATATTCATAGAGTAAATGTGGCTCTAAAGATGCACACTAAATTCACAGAAAGAGTCGCGGAACTAGCTGAACAGCTAAGCGTATGAGCTAGTTCATATGAACTGCGTGAGAGTAAGGAAAATTAAAAACATTCGTTATCTGAAATATATGTTTTTAAAAACTTAGTACTTTCGTTTAGACCAATGAACTAGTTCGGTAGAAATTTAAATGAAATGACGAAAAAATGAACTAGTTCAATATATCAAAATCAAGAAGAACTTGTAAATTCGTACGTTACACAAGATTTCATTGAAAGTCTAAGTAGAAATGATAGTTCATTTGAACTTTCATGAGAACTAGCTCCAGTTCTTAAGAACTGCTTGCGTTTGCCTCTTAAATGAAAATGAATCCAACACTGATTCAACCGTTATATCCTAAAATAGCTAAAAGAGTTACTCTATAGTTGCGCAAGAACTAGTTCACAGCGTGAACAACTCCTGTTGTGAGCCAGTGTGTATCCTTCGCCAGTCGTATGGCATGGTGCGCGTAAAAGAGACGACAACAGGCTAGACAAGACAAGCAGTTGAGCGGCTTAACAGCTGTTAAGTAACAGGTGTTAGCTAACAGCTGCTCAAGCTGCTCACAGTTGAACTTACATGTCGCTCTTCGGTGACAACGATTAGATGATTATCTTTGAGCGTCATCTTTGTGACGGAACCGCTGAACGTGAAGGCGGTGCCAGAGATTGTGGGCGTGGCACCGCCCGTAGGCGGGGGCGTCCGAATATCGGGGCTCGTCTCGAATTGAAACTCAATGCACTGCACCCCGCTGGTCAGCGCCAGCGACATGGAACGAATGAGCGATGCATTCGGCTTGAGATTCAGTTCCGGATTCGAGTTTCGATTTGGCATCGCCTTTGCGGCAGCTGCCTGTTGACTGCTCGGCTGCGATGTGGGCGACGCGAAGGAGGCGACCGACGAGGACGACGACGACGACGACGACTGCAATGTAACAGAGTGTACAGCGCTTTTATTTCTATCTTTCAATGTACACACACACACACACACACACACTCACACACACACACAGCTGAACAGAATGGAGAAGCCAAACTTGAATTAGTTTTGCGAGTTGCCGCAGCTATTTGAATGCATTTCAATTACGTTTGTGGAAATGTTCACAAATTTACGCAACATTTTTGCCATTGTTTAAAGGTTTTTCACTCTGAATGGGCGGTGGGCGTGGCGCTGCCATGCAGCCAAAAGTTGCCAACATTTGCCTTCGAATTGCAAAAAGGGGGAAGTTGTTCATAGCGCGGCTTCGTTCATCAAGCACTTTGTCATCTGTTCGCTGTTGCGCCTTCATCATCACCATCGTCGTCATCATTGTGAACTATAGCTTGTTAAGCTGCTTCATCATCATCATCATCATCATCATCGTCATCATCAACTTTAGCTTGTTGGGCACTTACCTCATGCTTAGAGTCCTGGCCGTGGCCCTGCTCGCTGTCATCGCCAGCGGCACTTGAATTCGCATTCTTGTTTAGCAAATAACTGTGAAAGAAGAAAAGACAACACACACACACAAAGACAACAGGGATAGAGAAATAGAGAGAGAAAGAGAGAGAGAGAGAGAAAGAGAAAGTTAATATGAGTCAGATATAAAGATAAGTAAGTAAAATGTTATGCATATAGAATGTGCAGCAAAATTTGTTGCCTGCTTTGTGTGGCAATCAGAAGGGTTTGCATCAGTGCTGCCAATTTGCTGAAAGAGCGAGACAGAAAGTGTGGTCCAGCTGTTTAAGATAAGCATAAGAGTTGTGGCTTTTGGCATGACATATCATATATCGCTGCTTAAACATAATATTCGATGAACAGTGCTGCCCATTTACTAAAATGAACTGAGCTACAAATAAGCTCTAGAATTTCTATAGCAGATGGGGAGAGAGAGAGGGGGAGAGAATAAGTAAATTCACATAAATTGATAACAGTAGGGCTAGCCTAACTCCCACTTAACAGTGCTGCCCATTGAAGGGTATAAAACTCTGGACAGAGTATAACTCTATTTCTCTGCTTGTACTTTCCACAGCAGCTCTAACAGATGATGCGTATATAAAGGCCTTTTATAAAGTAAACGCAAAACTGTTGATTACCCATTTGAGCCATGAGGTGCTGCCCATCCGCCATGAAACCTTTACAAGAGAACGCATGAAGAAACACGTAGCAAAGATTAATACTCAACAAAAAAAAAACCCGCCACTCAGGAAACCTTTCAAGCGAGATTACCATATGCATAAAAAAAATATCCGAGTACACACAGTACAAAAAAAAACAAAAAAACAACAAAAAGTAATGCCCATTAGTTGTAAAAAACAACAACAGCCCCGATGCAGCACTCAACACGAACTGTTTGCGCTAAGGAATGTGCAAGGATTTTTTTACAAACTGTTTGAAGCTTCCTAATTTACAACAGTTTATTGGTATCCACGACAGCTATGACAACCCACTTAAGTGCTGCCCATCTGCCCAAGAGAAGTGCTGACAGGAAAAACGAGCTTATGACTCACTCTCCAGGGCTAAGTGCTTTGCGAAATGCATGATAAACAAGCGCAGCTAAAGGTGTGCTGCATATGAGTGATAGAAATTGTTGTTTACATTCCCAATCTGCGTGCCCCGGCCCCCCTTTCACCTACTCTCCCATTTCAGCCACGCTGCGCCCTTGCGTCCCTCTCAGGCATTCCTCAACCCTTGGCATACTTGGAAAGACCTTCGCATTTTACTCTCGTTTTTAATGCGTTTCTTTTTTTCGGTTT